AGGCACTTCAGGAGGCAACTGGTCGCGTGTCCCCGCCTGTAGCTTGTGTCCTGGCCTGTAGCCTGTGTCCTCGCGTGTAGCCTGTGTCCTCACGTGTAGCCTGTGTCCTCATCTGCAGGGTGTGTCCTCACAGCTCACTCCACACCTGTCTCAAGTGAGTACACTTTGAAGAGCCAGTGTTGTTTGGTGTGTGTGTGTGTGTGTAGTGTTTATTTGGTCCTGTTTGGAGTGTGTTTGGTGTTAATGTTGATATGTTTGGAGTGTGTTTGGTGTTAATGTTGATATGTTTGGAGTGTGTTTGGTGTTAATGTTGATATGTTTGGAGTGTGTTTGGTGTTAATGTTGATATGTTTGGAGTGTGTTTGATGTTAATGTTGATATGTTTGGAGTGTGTTTGATGTTAATGTTGATATGTTTGGAGTGCGTGTCATCAACTTTCGTGTGGTCGTTTTAATGGCAGTTAGTGTTTACGTTTCAGAGGCACTTGAGTCCTGTGGATGAGGCACTCATGGAAGCAAAGTACTTGTGTCTAGGCTCAAGGATTAGTTATTAATAATGATTAATATATATATATATATATATTCTTGCTAAAACAACTTAGCAAGAATAAATTATAATAATAATAATAATAACAACAGCAGGAATAAGACACTATTCGTCACTGTATCTTATCTCTCTCTCCTTATCTCTCGTATTTGTTTTAACTAAAACCAGGGTTAATAGGGGCTATTAAATGACGTACCTGGTGAAACTGCAAGCAAGAGCTGTTATCCTACTTCAGTTCAGTTGAAACCTACTCCTTGATGCCCATATGTTTCACGAGGCTGTTATATGCATCAGTAGGAATAGCCTTTATTCATTACCAACATTAGGTGACAATCATATAAGGAAGAGGATGCATGAGCCTGTAGCCAACTGTGTGCCAGAGCCTTCATGTGATCACTTGACCTGATCTCCAGTGTAGCAACCTGTTGGGCCAACAAGTTCCAGATGCGAGTCAGTCTAGGAGTGAATGATCGCTGATGGAGTAATGGTCTTGAGAATGGCTCTTCCAGCATGAGACTGTTGAAGGTTGAGATCCTAGTGCTACGGGTGGCATCTACTGGACGTCCCCGGAGTTGGGCCAGGTACAGAACTTTGAGGAGGATGTTGGCCTTGTACATAACAGTAAGACCACCAATATCACGCTCTCTCTCTCTCTCTCTATCTCTCTCCACCCCTCTGTCTCTCTCTCTCTCTCTCTCTCTCTCTCTCTCTCTCTCTCTCTCTCTCTCTCTCTCTCTCTCTCTCTCTCTCTCTCCCTCCCCCTAGCAGCCCAGAGATAAGCCCTGAAGATAGAGAGTAATGATAACATGCCAAGCCTCGAGGGATAATGTTATCATACTGAAGTTTTAATTTCCTAGCCCACCCACTCGCTAGCCCACCCTCCTACCCACCCACTCGCTAGCCCTCCCTCCTACCCACGGTCTAGAACCCCTGCCAGCCCACCCTCCCTCCCTATACCCCCCTCACTCGTCCCTCTCCTTCTCTCACTCTCTCCATCCCCCCCCTCTCCCTCCCTCTCTCCCCAGCACTACAATAAACATAAGAGCGAGCCTACATCAGCGCTCCGTTGATGTGTGACACGGGGGCGCTTGTGTGTGTGTGGTGGCGGGAGACAGACAGCTATAGCCGATTATATAGCCGCAGGAGCCCTTTAACCTATATCAAAGTCCCCCCCTCCACCCCCCCCCCCTCCCTGTCTCACGGCCAGTGTGTTTATGTGTCTCTGTCTCTCTAGCACCGTCAACTGGTGTAGACAGGACTGTCAGACACACTGGTGTAGACAGGAGTGTTATAGGGGAGGGGGGGGTGTTATAGGGAGGGGGGGGTGTTATAGGGAGGGGGGGCGGGGTGTTATAGGGGGAGGGGGGATATGGAGAACCTTGGAAACACAAACCGAAACTGTCTGTATTTCCGCTTGTTACAACTTGTAATAAAGTTGTTACATCTTGGCTTAACGTGTTTATGACGTATTAGAACGTTGTTACAACTTGCTATATTGGTTGTTATAACTGGTTAGGAGGCGTTAAAACTTGTTCGAACGTTGTACCAACGTCGTAGTTTGGGTGTGTGTTTGGCGGGAAGGAAAGGGTTGAAGACAAACATATCAACAAACAAAGGTTAAGTGAAATACCAAAACATGAATACACAAATGTATACACAGCTGTATGAACAGAATACAATGATGTATACGAGAGGAAAATACAAGAGCGGGAGATTAGGGCTATTTTCCCCTGGTAAAGACCGACAGATTGGGCTCTAAATCTTCCCTTCTAGTCCTAATGCGTCACTTTATTATCGGAGTCCGCCAATCCGTTGAAAAACTGACGTATTAGTACATATTTAAACCACTCTAGAATTAACGTTTTCGATACGTCGGCCTCGATGGGTTAAGTGGGTTGCTTGGGCTTGTACGTTCAGGGTTAGGCAAACAGTGGCATTTTTTACGGAGTAAAAAAATCGAGAATACAGAGGTTTTTGGGCAACTTTGGATCCTCCAGATTATTCCTATCCTCCATTGGATTTCTTATTACCTAAATAAGTTCAAATACAAAATTTGCAATTGTATGTAATTTTTTTTGCATATATCGTTTAAAATTATTGTATAATACAATGAGTAGGATATTGTGAGACATACACAGTTTCAAGTGTAGATATGATAGAGCCCAGTAGGCTCAGTTCACCAGTTGATTGACGGTTGAGAGGCGGGACCAAAGAGCCAGAGCTCAACCCCCGCAAGCACAACTAGGTGAGTGAAGGTGGAGCCCCCAGTATAGCAGTGGTGGAGGAAGGTGGAGCCCCAGTATAGCAGTGGTGGAGGAAGGTGGAGCCCCCAGTATAGCAGTGGTGGAGGAAGGTGGAGCCCCAGTATAGCAGTGGTGGAGGAAGGTGGAGCCCCCAGTATAGCAGTGGTGGAGGAAGGTGGAGCCCCAGTATAGCAGTGGTGGAGGAAGGTGGAGCCCCAGTATAGTACTGGTGGAGGAAGGTGGAGCCCCCAGTATAGCAGTGGTGGAGGAAGGTGGAGCCCCAGTATAGCAGAGGTGGAGGAAGGTGGAGCCCCAGTATAGCAGAGGTGGAGGAAGGTGGAGCCCCAGTATAGCAGAGGTGGAGGGAGGTGGAGCCCCAGTATAGCAGAGGTGGAGGAAGCCGAACACACACCACTATAATGCCCTATAAGCTTCCCGCTGGGTAATTTATACCGCAGAAAAGATTCAATCTTCGCTAATTGCATATTTTGGTGCAGAGAATTAGGCAGCTACGATGCTTTGGTTAAACAACCCCCCTCTTAATGTGTGTGTGTGTGTGTGTGTGTGTGTGTGTGTGTGTGTGTGTGTGTGTGTGTGTGTGTGTGTGTGAGAGAGACACTACAAACACTGACCCAGGAACCTGTTCTGGAAAGCGTGTTGTAATGGATTTCTCTAAGAGACTGGAGGGTTCTTCAACCCGGCCCTAGAGATGTCCGATACACTCTTGAATTATTCACTAGCCACAAGACGGTCTCAGAAGACATTAATGGGTTTCAAAAGACATTAATGAGGGTTCCGGAAGACACCAGAGTGTTCCGGGAGACACCAGAGTGTTCCAGCACACACCAGACTGTTCCAGGAGACACCAGAGTGTTCCAGAAGACACCAGACTGTTCCAGGAGACACCAGAGTGTTCCAGAAGACACCAGACTGTTCCAGGAGACACCAGAGTGTTCCAGAAGACACCAGACTGTTCCAGGAGACACCAGAGTGTTCCAGAAGACACCAGAGTGTTCCAGAAGACATCAGAGTGTTCTAGAAGACACGAGAGTGTTCCAGAAGACACCAGACTGTTCTAGAAGACACCAGACTGTTCCAGATGCTACCAGCGGGCTCCAGAAGACATTACAGTTTCCAAAAGCAAAGAGGGGATCATTTCACACAATATTATTGTTCCAGTATCAGAAGATTCCAGGCAGGCTCTAAAGCCTCCCAGAAAACATTAGAGGATTTACCCGAGTTGGCACTAGAGGATTCCAGCCGGGCTCTGAAGTCTTCCAGATACATTAGAAGGTTACTCTTGTAGGCGCCAGAGGCACCTGCTCTTGTAGGCGCCAGAGGCACCTGCTCTTGTAGGCGCCAAAGACCTGGGAGCCCAAGGCAGGCTCTGAAGCCTTCTTACAACCTTCCAGCAAGTTCCAGCAAGTTCCAGCAATGTTCCAGCAAGCAGTTCCAGACACCAAACTGATGGAGTTTCCCGCCAGAACCTGGCCCGGAGCCTGACACGCATGGTGTGATAATTATTTGATGGAAAACTGAAACACGTGAAGAAAAGAATTCAATGTTGTAGTTAGAGAGAGATGTAGAACAGTCCCCTGCCTTTAGCTCCAAGGATCATTGAATATGAATCATGGTCATAATTGGATTTTCACGCTATCGTTGCTTGAAGCATCCTGTTGCAATCACACCTCTCTCTCTCTCTCTCTCTCTCTCTCTCTCTCTCTCTCTCTCTCTCTCTCTCTCTCTCTCTCTCTCTCTCTCTCTCTCTCTCTCTCTGTCTCTCTGTCTCTCTCTGTCTCTCTCTGTCTCTCTCTCTCTCTCTCTCTCTCTCTCTCTCTCTCTCTCTCTCTCTCTCTCTCACATGTATTAAAAGTGAACAAATATTGACTTTCTGGTTGACTGTGTGGGATTCGCTTGTCATATGAGCCCACAATAGCTGCCTCTTGCATGTTTTACTGTAGTGTGTGTGTGTGTGTGTGTGTGTGTGTGTGTGTGTGTGTGTGTGTGTGTGTGTGTGTGTGTGTGTGTGTGTGTGTGTGTGTGTGTAATCACCTTTTCCTCAGATATAATTTCAAGGTCAAGCTTCAGCTCCTAAGACCCATCTTCCGAGCTATATATATTGGTTAATGCAGCGACTCTCATCATCTAAGTAAATTATCGTATCTGCTTTTAAGGTTGAGAATTGCTGATACTCGACAGAGATCCCCAGTAACCGGCTCCATTTATTTAAAACTCTTACGCTATGAGAAAACTTCCTAACGACTCTATAATTAATTGGTGTTTACAATTCCCGTCAATGTCGTCTCGTTTCACTATCACCCATTTTATACGTCGGTTTTTCGGACAATTTGTTGATTCCGCTTAGAGTCGTGTACGTTGTTGGCTCCTTACACCCCTGTGGCTCACCCCAGAGGTCTGGCTCCTCACACCCCTGTGGCTCACCCCAGAGGTCTGGCTCCTCACACCCCTGTGGCTCACCTCAGAGGTCTGGCTCCACACACCCCTGTGGTTCACCCCAGAGGTCTGGCTCCTCACACCCCTGTGGTTCACCCCAGAGGTCTGGCTCCTCACACCCCTGTGGTTCACCCCAGAGGTCTGGCTCCTCACACCCCTGTGGCTCACCCCAGAGGTCTGGCTCCTCACACCCCTGTGGCTCACCTCAGAGGTCTGGCTCCTCACACCCCTGTGGTTCACCCCAGAGGTCTGGCTCCTCACACCCCTGTGGCTCACCCCAGAGGTCTGGCTCCTCACACCCCTGTGGTTCACCCCAGAGGTCTGGCTCCTCATACCCCTGTGGTTCACCCCAGAGGTCTGGCTCCTCACACCCCTGTGGTTCACCCCAGAGGTCTGGCTCCTCACACCCCTGTGGTTCACCCCAGAGGTCTGGCTACTCACACCCCTGTGGCTCACCCCAGAGGTCTGGCTCCTCACACCCCTGTGGTTCACCCCAGAGGTCTGGCTCCTCACACCCCTGTGGTTCACCCCAGAGGTCTGGCTACTCACACCCCTGTGGTTCACCCCAGAGGTCAGGCTCCTCACACCCCTGTGGCTCACCCCAGAGGTCTGGCTCCTCACACCCCTGTGGTTCACCCCAGAGGTCTGGCTCCTCACACCCCTGTGGTTCACCCCAGAGGTCTGGCTCCACACACCCCTGTGGCTCACCCCAGAGGTCTGGCTCCTCACACCCCTGTGGCTCACCTCAGAGGTCTGGCTCCTCACACCCCTGTGGCTCACCCCAGAGGTCTGGCTCCTCACACCCCTGTGGCTCACCCCAGAGGTCTGGCTCCTCACACCCCTGTGGCTCACCTCAGAGGTCTGGCTCCTCACACCCCTGTGGTTCACCCCAGAGGTCTGGCTCCTCACACCCCTGTGGTTCACCCAGAGGTCTGGCTCCTCACACCCCTGTGGTTCACCCCAGAGGTCTGGCTCCTCACACCCCTGTGGCTCACCCCAGAGGTCTGGCTCCTCACACCCCTGTGGCTCACCTCAGAGGTCTGGCTCCTCACACCCCTGTGGTTCACCCCAGAGGTCTGGCTCCTCACACCCCTGTGGCTCACCCCAGAGGTCTGGCTCCTCACACCCCTGTGGTTCACCCCAGAGGTCTGGCTCCTCATACCCCTGTGGTTCACCCCAGAGGTCTGGCTCCTCACACCCCTGTGGCTCACCCCAGAGGTCTGGCTCCTCACACCCCTGTGGTTCACCCCAGAGGTCTGGCTCCTCATACCCCTGTGGCTCACCCCAGAGGTCTGGCTCCTCACACCCCTGTGGCTCACCCCAGAGGTCAGGCTCCTCTGGTCCTGTCGTTTCTCATTTTAAACATTGCCTCTTTGTCCGTCTCGTCAATTTCCCTTTATATCTTGCAAGCTATCATCCCCCACCTCCCCCCCCCCTTCCTCATGATTCATCTTTCCTCAGCGTGGTGAGTCAGCCTTAGGCTCTCCCTGTGAGGGAGTCTTCTCAGCTCCCCTGAGGAGCTGAGGAAACTCAGACTTGACTGAGGAGACTTTTCGGCACTTGATCGTCCACTGTTATGTTCCTTCTTATATGACTATATTATATATAGTCATATATGACTATATTATATATATATATATATATATATAATATTATAGTTCTGTCTGATACTGTTCTTCTGTATTCGTGCCTGGCTCTGTCGCGCCTGTTTCTGTTTACTTCTGTCCTTTGACTTCTGTATTTCTTCCTCTCCCTCTCCTGCTTTTTGGGGGGCTTTTTGGCACTCTCTATTGGACCTTTATATTACCTACTGTTTTTGGTCTTTAATGTTGGTGTGAATTTCTCTTGTGCCTCTTAGCATCTCAGTTTGGCTTGATCTATCATCACCTCAACTGTCTTCTCTCTAGCTACTTCCTGTCAGTGCACAACTTCCTGTCAGTGGACAACTTCCTGTCAGTGCACAACTTCCTGTCAGTGCACAGCGCCCTAAATGCCTCCTTACTTAGGTTTCTGAATGATGTTCTAACTTTTGCCAGTGTGGAGTACGCTGCTGTCGTTATCCTATTTATATGTGCTTCAGGAGATAGATTAGGTGTTACGTCCACACCCAGGTCTCTTTCGCGCGTCGTCACAGGTAGGCTGTTCCCCTTCATTGTGTACTGTCCCTTTGGTCTCCTATCTCCTAGTCCCATTTCCATAACGTTACATTTGCTCGTGTTGAAATCCAGTAGCCATTTCTCTGGCCATATCTGCAACCTGTTCAAGTCTTCTTGGAGGATCCTACAATCCTCATCTGTCACAACTCTTCTCATTAACTTTGCGTCATCCGCGAACATCAACATGTAGGATTCTACTCCTGTAAACATGTCATTAACGTATATTAGAAATAGAATTGGTCCCAGCACCGATCCTTGAGGTACTCCACTCGTTACTGTTCGCCAGTCCGACTTCTCACCCTTTACCGTAACTCTTTGGCTCCTTCCTGTTAGGTAGTTCCTTACCCATGCTAGGGCCTTTCCGCTTACTCCTGCCTGCCTCTCAAGTTTGAATAGCAGTCTCATGTGCGGTACTGTATCTGTGTGTGCGTGCGTGTGTGCGTGTGTGTGTGTGTGTGTGTGTGTGTGTGTGTGTGTGTGTGTGTGTGTGTGTGTGTGTGTGTGAATGTACCGTAGTAGCCAAGTAGAGAAGCAAAGCTTGGTGTACAGACAGCACCAGAAACCATTTGAGGTGAAGCAAGTTTAGCATGACCCAGTGTAACTCAGTGCTGTTGTTCCTTGCAGGGTGTAGTGGTGTAGCCCCCTAGCCTACCAACCGAAGCAACGGGTCAACCAATCTCAACCACAAACATCCACTCACCCACAACCACCACCACCATAACAACATCTGCTTCTCTGCTCAAGCTGTTGACCACAGAACAGGTCTGCTGAGCCAACAGGGACACCAGGGGGTCCCTGTGGTGTTGTCTGAGGTCGCTGTCTACCTGTCCCGCTGAAGGACCAGGCCCCTCCCCCCGCCAACATACTCGGAGCCATCTGTGAGTGCACTCCACCAGAAACCGCCAAAATTTCCTTCTCAAGCTTTAAAGCCTCGTTCTCCAGCAATGTTAATTACCTCAAGAGAAGGTGAGTGTGTTGGTGTCTGTTTGTTGTGTGTTTGTTGTGGTTGTTGGGGTCTGTTTGTTGTGGTTGTTGGTGTGTGTTTGTTGTGGTTGTTGTGGTTGTTGGTGTGTGTGTATGTTGTGGTTGTTGTGGTTGTTGGTGTGTGTGTATGTTGTGGTTGTTGGTGTGTTTGTGTGTTGTGGTTGTTGGTGTGTGTGTTGTGGTTGTTGGTGTGTGTGTGTTTATTGTGGTTGTTGGGGTGTGTGTTTGTTGTAGTTGTTGTGGTTGTTGGTGTGTGATTGTTGTGGTTGTTGGTGTGTTTGTTGTGGTTGTTGGTGTGTTTGTTGTGGTTGTTGATGTGTGTTGTGGTTGTTGGTGTGTGTTTGTTGTGGTTGTTGGTGTGTTTGTTGTGGTTGTTGGTGTGTGTGTTTGTTGTGGTTGTTGTGTGTTTGTTGTGGTTGTTGGTGTGTGTGTTGTGGTTGTTGGTGTGTTTGTTGTGGTTGTTGGTGTGTTTGTTGTGGTTGTTGGTGTGTTTGTTGTGGTTGTTGGTGTGTTTGTTGTGGTTGTTGGTGTGTTTGTTGTGGTTGTTGGTGTGTTTGTTGTGGTTGTTGGTGTGTGTTGTGGTTGTTGGTGTGTTTGTTGTGGTTGTTGGTGTGTTTGTTGTGGTTGTTGGTGTGTGTGTTGTGGTTGTTGGTGTGTTGTTGTGGTTGTTGGTGTGTGTTTGTTGTGGTTGTTGGTGTGTTTGTTGTGGTTGTTGGTGTGTGTTTGTTGTGGTTGTTGTGTTGTGTGTGTTGTTGTGGTTGTGGTGTGTGTGTTGTGGTTGTTGGTGTGTGTTGTTGTGGTTGTTGGTGTGTGTTTGTTGTGGTTGTTGGTGTGTGTTTGTTGTGGTTGTTGGTGTGTGTTTGTTGTGGTTGTTAGTGTGTGTGTTGTGGTTGTTGGTGTGTTTGTTGTGGTTGTTAGTGTGTGTGTTGTGGTTGTTGGTGTGTGTGTTGTGGTTGTTGGTGTGTGTTGTGGTTGTTGGTGTGTGTTTGTTGTGGTTGTTGGTGTGTGTTTGTTGTGGTTGTTGGTGTGTGTTTGTTGTGGTTGTTGGTGTGTGTTTGTTGTGGTTGTTGGTGTGTGTTGGTTGTGGTTGTTGGTGTGTGTTTGTTGTGGTTGTTGGTGTGTGTTTGTTGTGGTTGTTGGTGTGTGTTTGTTGTGGTTGTTGGTGTGTGTTTGTTGTGGTTGTTGGTGTGTGTTTGTTGTGGTTGTTGGTGTGTGTTTGTTGTGGTTGTTGGTGTGTGTTTGTTGTGGTTGTTGGTGTGTGTTTGTTGTGGTTGTTGGTGTGTGTGTTGTGGTTGTTGGTGTGTGTTTGTTGTGGTTGTTGGTGTGTTTGTTGTGGTTGTTGGTGTGTGTGTTGTGGTTGTTGGTGTGTTTGTTGTGGTTGTTAGTGTGTGTGTTGTGGTTGTTGGTGTGTGTTTGTTGTGGTTGGTGGTGTGTTGTGGTTGTTGGTGTGTGTGTTGTGGTTGTTGGTGTTGTTGGTGTGTGTTGTTGGGTGTGGTGTGTTGTTGTGGTTGTGGGTGTGTGTTTGTTGTGGTTGTTGGTGTGTGTGTGTTGTGGTTGTTGGTGTGTGTTTGTTGTGGTTGTTGGTGTGTGTTTGTTGTGGTTGTTGGTGTGTGTTTGTTGTGGTTGTTGGTGTGTGTTTGTTGTGGTTGTTGGTGTGTGTTTGTTGTGGTTGTTGGTGTGTGTTTGTTGTGGTTGTTGGTGTGTTTGTTGTGGTTGTTGGTGTGGTGTTAGTGTGTGTTGTGGTTGTTGGTGTGTGTTTGTTGTGGTTGTTGGTGTGTGTTTGTTGTGGTTGTTGGTGTGTGTTTGTTGTAGTTGTTGGTGTGTTTGTTGTGGTTGTTCGTGTGTGTGTTGTAGTTGTTGGTGTGTTTGTTGTGGTTGTTGGTGTGTGTTTGTTGTGGTTGTTGGTGTGTGTGTTGTGGTTGTTGGTGTGTGTTGTTGTGGTTGTTGGTGTGTTTGTTGTGGTAGTTGTTGGTGTGTGTGTGTTGTGGTTGTTGGTGTGTGTGTTGTGGTTGTTGGTGTGTTGTTGGTGTGTTGGTGTGTGTGTTGTTGTGGTTGTTGGTGTGTTTGTTGTGGTTGTTGGTGTGTGGTGTGTTGTGGTTGTTGGTGTTTGTTTGGTGTGTGTGTGTTGGTGTGTGTGTTTGTTGTGGTTGTTGGTGTGTGTTTGTTGTGGTTGTTGGTGTGTTTGTTGTGGTTGTTGGTGTGTGTGTTGTAGTTGTTGGTGTGTTTGTTGTGGTTGTTGGTGTGTGTGTGTTGTGGTTGTTGGTGTGTGTGTTGTGGTTGTTGTGGTTGTTGGTGTGTTTGTTGTGGTTGTTGGTGTGTGTGTTGTGGTTGTTGGTGTGTGTGTTGTGGTTGTTGGTGTGTGTGTTGTGGTTGTTGGTGTGTTTGTTGTGGTTGTTGGTGTGTGTGTTGTGGTTGTTGGTGTGGTGTTGTTGTGGTTGTTGGTGTGTGTTTGTTGTGGTTGTTGGTGTGTGTTTGTTGTGGTTGTTGGTGTGTTTGTTGTGGTTGTTGGTGTGTGTTTGTTGTGGTTGTTGGTGTGTGTTTGTGGTTGTTGGTGTGTGTGTTGTGGTTGTGGTGTGTTGTGTGGTTGTGTGTGTGGTTGTGGTTGTTGGTGTGTTGTTGTGGTTGTTGGTGTGTGTTGTGGTTGTGGTGTGTTGTGGTTGTTGTGTGTTGTTGTGTTAGTTGTGTTTGTGGTTGTTGGTGTGTGTTGTTGTTGTTGGTGTGTGTTTGTTGTGGTTGTTGTGTGTGGTGTGTTTGTTGTGGTTGTTGGTGTGTGTGTTGTGGTTGTTGGTGTGTGTGGTTGTTGGTGTGTGTGTTGTGGTTGTGGTGTGTGTGTTGTGGTTGTTGGTGTGTGTGTGTTGTGGGTTGTTGGTGTGTGTTTGTTGTGGTTGTTGGTGTGTGTGTGTTGTGGTTGTTGGTGTGTGTTGTTGTGGTTGTTGGTGGTGTGTGTGTTGTTGGGTTGTTGGTGTGTGTTTGTTGTGGTTGTTGGTGTGTGTTTGTTGTGGTTGTTGGTGTGTGTTTGTTGTGGTTGTTGGGTGTGTGTGTGTTGTGGTTGTTGGTGTGTGTTTGTTGTGGTTGTTGGTGTGTGTTTGTTGTGGTGTTGGTGTGTGTTTGTTGTGGTTGTTGGTGTGTGTTTGTTGTGGTTGTTGGTGTGTGTTTGTTGTGGTTGTGGTGTGTGTGTTGTGTGGTGTTGGTGTGTGTTGTTGTGGTTGTTGGTGTGTGTTTGTTGTGGTTGTTGGTGTGTTTGTTGTGGTTGTTGGTGTGTGTTGTTGTGGTTGTTGGTGTGTGTGTGTTGTGGTTGTTGTGGTTGTTGGTTGTGTGTGTGTGTTGTTGTGGTTGTTGGTGTGTGTTTGTTGTGGTTGTTGGTGTGTGTTTGTGTGGTTGTTGGTGTGTGTTTGTTGTGGTTGTTGGTGTGTGTTGTTGTGGTTGTTGGTGTGTGTGTTGTGTGTGGTGTGTGTTTGTTGTGGTTGTGGGTGTGTGTGTGTTGTGGTTGTGTGTGTGTGTGTTGTGTGTTGTGTGTGTGTGTTGTTGTGGTGTTGGTGTGTGTGTGTTGTGGTTGTTGGTGTGTGTTTGTTGTGGTTGTTGGTGTGTGTGTTGTTGTGGTTGTTGGTGTGTGTGTGTTGTGGTTGTTGGTGTGTGTGTGTTGTGGTTGTTGGTGTGTGTTTGTTGTGGTTGTTGGTGTGTGTTTGTTGTGGTTGTTGGTGTGTGTTTGTTGTGGTGTTGTGTGTGTTTGTTGTGGTGTTGGTGTGTGTGTTGTGGTTGTTGGTGTGTGTGTGTTGTGGTTGTTGGTGTGTGTTGTTGTGGTTGTTGGTGTGTGTTGGTTGTGGTTGTTGGTGTGTGTGTTGTGGTTGTTGGTGTGTGTTTGTTGTGGTTGTTGGTGTGTGTTTGTTGTGGTTGTTGGTGTGTGTGTTGTGGTTGTTGGTGTGTGTGTTGTGGTTGTTGGTGTGTGTGTGTGTGTTGTTGTGGTGTGGTGTGTGTTGTGGTTGTTGGTGTGTGTGTTGTGGTTGTTGGTGTGTGTGTGTTGTGGTTGTTGGTGTGTGTGTGGTTGTTGGTGTGTGTGTGTGGTTGTGGTGTGTGTGTGTTGTGGTGTTGGTGTGTGTGTTGTGGTTGTTGGTGTGTGTGTTGTGGTTGTTGGTGTGTGTGTGTTGTGGTTGTTGGTGTGTGTGTGTTGTGGTTGTTGGTGTGTGTGTTGTGGTTGTTGGTGTGTGTGTTGTGGTTGTTGGTGTGTGTGTTGTGGTTGTTGGTGTGTGAACTATTGCATGTGCTTGTATGTTAATTTCTTTGTATATATATTTTCGTATGTGTGTGGCAGTATATATGTAGGTTATTATATATATTGTTACGGTAAAATCACTAAGAGCAGATGTAATGCTACGAACATATTAACAAAAAAAAGTAAAAACAAATTAAAATAAAACTGCTATGTTGACTTCTTCACGGTGTAATAATTGCAGGATAAAACATAATGGAAAAATTTAAATGCTTTAATAAGAAAAATTAAATTAGACAAATAACAAGACTGAAAATAATGCCTTAAAAACTTGACTTACTTACAGGGTGCAAAACAATCAAAATAAAACAATCAAACAGAGAATTTAACGTTACATTAGAGAACACGAAATAAAATGGTGCTTGAAAATACTGTATGCCGCTTTGCGTAGATCTACCACCACTCAAGGTAGTACGAGACTAGGTCTCGCAGGAAGAGCACGAGAGAGTATTCTGCCAGTGGTGGTGATATATATATATATATATATATATATATATATATATATATATATATATATATATATATATATATATATATATATATATATATATATATATTTGCATTTACGAACGTATGTATGTTTGTGTTCAAGGATATATGGTGGCTGAGTGTACACCCAGGGATAAATGCACATGATATGTACGTGTATATGTACACATTGCCACTGTTGAACTTGTGTGTACAACGCTGGGTGTACATGGTTACGAAAGATGGT